GGGCGGGGGCGGGGGGAGCCACAGGCTGCTGGTGGATTGTCCTGCTCCAGCCAGGGGCAACAGCTGCTCCTGCTTCCTACCTCGGGGAGAAGCAATTTTTGTTCCTTTGCCTGAATTTATGACCACTTTGTGCCTGCTGGGACGGCGTGGCAGGAATCCCGGGTCTCCCTGCCAGGGCTGGAGCGGCCAGTTTGATATTTGTAACCTTGGAAAATGCCTGTTCCTCTGTTCCAGGCAGGGGGGGGGCTGGAGGTCACCCCCTCTTTTCCCTGTCACTGCAGCCTTGCAGCTCATGTCTCCCTCTGAAAATGCCCCAGGGGGTTATTTGCTGTCGCACGCACAGGGAGGGGGTTTTTCCTCCCCCCTCAGCCCCGGGGCAGCTCTGCCCTCCGGCACCGCTCAGAGGTGGTTCCCTGGGGTTCCAACAACTTTTGGGCTGAAACTTGAACTCCCTCCATCTCCCCCAGCAACTTTTTGAGCTCTCACTGACCCTACAGAGAACCAGCCGCAGCCAACGCCCTGGGGCAGAGCTCCATAAAGCACCCCAGGTGTTCCCTAGAATCAGGTGAAGTGGGAAAACTTCGGTTTCTGGGGGAAATAAACGGAAGTTTTCTTGTCCTCGGGGGGGATTTTCTGGGTGTCTCCAGCCTCCCACGCAGCCACAGACCCTCCCATCCCTCTGCATGGGTTTTTGGGGCATGGGCAGGGCTACTGCAGAGTTGTAAACAGCCTTTCATCTCCATAATTGAATAAATACAACAATACAATATATCGTAGAATATCGTATCGTAGAATCCCAGACTGGTTTGGGTTGGGAGGGACCTTCAAGATCACCCAGTTCCAACCCCCCTGCATGGGCAGGGACACCTCCCACCAGCCCAGGTGGACAATCTAACAATATAAATAAATATAAATATAAACATCCTTTGCATCCCACCGCTATTCCAAGCATCCCGTTGCTCCAGCCCCCAGCCCCCCATCATTCCAACCCCCTCTGGATGGATGGATCCATCCCCTCACCGGTGCTGCGGGTGATCCCGGTGGCAGCTCCCGAGGTTGGGGACACACGGTACCGGGTGGCAGGGACACGGGAGAGGGAACCCCGCCTGCTCGGGGCGGGGACGGGGCGGGGATACCCGGGATGTGCCGGGAGATGAAGAGAGAAGAGAAGAGAAGAGAAGAGAAGAGAAGAGAAGAGAAGAGAAGAGAAGAGAGAAGAGAAAGAAGGAGAAAATATTTCAATTGGAAGTGACTTATAATTATCATCTAGTCTAACTGTCTGACTTATTCAGGGCTGACAAAAGGCTATTAAGGGACACACACTTTCACTGGTGTCATTAAAGGCAGAAGCTGCTTCCTCAAAGTGGCAGCTGAACTGAGTGGTTTGGCTGATACCAAAAAAAAGCAAGAATCTCTTCAGTTTGATTTTAATGAATTTTGGTGAAATTCCTTCCATTTCCCCAGTTATATCTACATAAATGACTGTTTGCAGTTACAGCTGAGAATTAACAACCTCACACTTGGTCCCAGCACCCACTGATGTATTTCAGGAGTTAATGTCTTCTGCATAGAGTCATTTTGGATGGAAAAGGTCTTTCTAATCACCAAGTCCAGCCATAAACCCAACATTGCCAAGTCCACCACCTTCTATTCCTGTGGAGAGTGAGTCTCCCAGAGGCAAAAGACCCCATCCCAGTGGGAGATCTCTGTCAAGTTAAGTAAGTTTAAAGGAGTCATTTTAAACTGCTTATTGGAAATTTAGAAACAAAAAGCTGCTTCTCTCCTGTCTTCTTGGTGGTAAATTAATGGGAAGGAAATTAATGTAGTGAGCAAGAAGCTTGATGGCCCAGATCCCCTCCCTTTCACAGAGCAGAGCAACATCCCCCCAGGGCTTGTCTTGTTCGTGGGGTGGGCACCAACCATCACATCCAACATTTGGGATTACAGATCCACCACCAAAGCCCTGCTCAAAGCAGTCCCAAGGGGCTAAATTCCTCCTTCCTCCCTGTGCAACCTCCTGGATTGGGGAATGGGAGCCGGGGCAATGTCACCTCCATTCTCAGGCTGAGGAAGTAGGTTCCAGATGCCAGAGATGCCTCTGGGGAGCCCCAGGCTGCACCCTCTGAGGTGTCACTTCAGTTTCAGCCCCACCTGCCAGTGGCTGAGTCACCCCTGACTCTCCAGAGCAATAAAAAAAGGGTGTCACAGGGAAACAGGCAGCGGGACTCTGCTCTATGATCTGCCAGGCCTCTGCAGGTCCTCCCAGGACTTCTGGAAACAGCCTCCTGCACAGAACCCAACAGCCCCAGTCCTCCTCATGCAGTCCTTTTTGGGGAGACAGCTTGTTTGGGACCTTCCTTGTCTTCCCCCTGTTCAAACATCACCTTCTGTAGTGGCAGTGACACATGCAGAGCAGAGGAAGGCTCAGAACTTCAGAAAGCCAAGTGTGACAGTCAAGAGTAAAAACAGGAGCCACAGTCTTGGTGCAGGACCATCCCTGCTGCTCACACGTGTCCCCACCTGTACCAGCAAGTCTGGACCTGCTCTCTTTTTCTTGTAGGACCTTCCTGCTAGTCTCTCTAGAGCACAAACCAAAACTCCTGCCTCTGCAGCTTCCTGCTCCTAGAGAACTTTACACAGACAGGGAGTGAGAGGACAAAGGGGGAATGGTTTTAAGCTGCAAAAGGGGAGATTTAGGTTGGATCTGAGGAAGAAATTCTTTGCTGTGAGGAGTCTGAGACCCTGGCCCAGGTTGCCCAGGGAAGCTGTGGCTGCCCCATCCCTGGAAGTGTTGAAGGGCAGGTTGGATGGGGCTTGGAGCAACCTGGGCTGGTGGGAGGTGTCCCTGCCCATGGCAGGGGGTTGGGACTGGATGATCTACAAGGTCCCTTCCAACCCAAGCCAGTCTGGGATTCCACGACAAACAGAACTGGTGCAAAATTGCAGCTCATCCAGTTCCCTCCTGCTCTGGCAGTGCCAGGAGAAGGACAAGTCCAGCCCCAAAAGCTTCACACGGCTTCTAATGCTGATGTCATAGATGAACAACGCCATGTTGCAGTTTGAAGCTTGTATATTAGTGAAGATGAATAAATGAGAAGGACTTTGTGCTTCTTG